ATAAACTGGAGCACCCGAAGAAAGACCAAAGTTAAACAAGTGACTCAACTACTCACGCACAACTCTGGGATTGAAGCCACGACTCTTGGTCTTACATACGGTATTTCTTAGCAGTGGGAGAACCCGGAAAACCTAGAGAAAATCTACATGTTTAGTCAGGGAAACCATGAGGCTTGACATACCTTATTACCCAAAGTGCCTGTGTTATCACTCAGCCATACAACTCGCACTATTTATCCGAAGAACTATCAGAGATAATTAGATATACATAGTGAACACATTCAAGCCCATCTTCTTTTTTGTGTAATATTAATGTTTTAAAAGGTTATAGTTACTAGTAATTTCTGTTATGGTTAGCTATATATATTCGCTTTGCCATTATCCACATCAAAAGCGGTGCATCGATTAACTACCGAGTTAAAGGACATCTTTCAATGCAATACTAGCCTTTTATATATCGAACTTAAGATTGTGCAGTTACGGCGATTTAGTATCGATACAAGAGTGCACGCAAAAGGAATGTTTTTCTTTGTCAACCAAATAGCATTTCCGACATCTTTAAATAGTCAATTAGGATTGAAATCAAACTTCTGGATTTTGCGTTACAGATTATAACATACATGGCGAGTATTGCCAGTGATAGCCACGCTTCATACCATAGGCCAGACTTTAATTTCTTTAAATAGGAAATACTACACACGAAGCAAGTCATTAGTACCAAGAAGATATATTAATTAAGCGATATTATATGTATCAAAGAACTAGAAGACTCATCATTAGCGAGAGTAGGTTAATTATAACCTTACTTCTTTGAGGTCTAGACTTTTTTTTTATAAATAGTTCAACTGTTCTGTAATTGAAGGGGTACGAAGAGAATAATCCATAAGTTGTCCCGGTGGCAACTTTTAAAGAAAATGAAATGGAGATTATAACGTCCTACTGATTTGCTGCAATTTAAAGGAAATAAACCTCTGAATATTTCCATAAATTCGAAATTAAAAACACAAATTAATATCCGACTGTTCTATCAAGGAAATTTTGCCAGGACAGCGAAACTTCGGCCGACTCTAGTATCGACTTCCAACTGCCAAGGTATCTTTTAAGTGCACGTCAATGTGTACACGGGACCTTGAGTTTTCGTCACATCCGAACGACTAGACAGCTGACAAGCGGAAACCACGCAGGAAAATCTCGATGAATTTTCTCGGCCAACACCGGGAAGGAACCCGCGACCTACAGACTAGCGAACCAGCGTCTTACCCACTTAGCCACAGTGTCTCCCACCCAATATTTAAGACATAATGAGAATTTTTAAATAGTACACCAGTCACGTATTTTGTGGATTCATGCACGATTTGTAATGAACAATTAATATATTCCGCAAGGCTACAGAAGTAATGGCTGATTCACAAACGACAAAATAATAAAAGAAAACGTGTAGATTGTCGTCCATTTTGATCTATTCGGGTATTTCACCGAACATAATTGATTAGAAATTACAATAACAAATTCAAAAATTGAACATAAATCGCTTTATATACATTCATAACATTAATATGTGCTTTTAGGTCCATTTTTGCATATTTTACGGTTCCAAAGAATACAGCCAGTGGCGTAGCGTGTTACCCGAGTCACGGGCAAGTCATGTATTGCTCCCCTTTTCCATGCACCATTAGCACTCTCTAGACGCCTTCCATCAGTAAACCCCTTATCCGCGTACCTAAGAATGTTGCGCCTTGTGCAAGTATACAGAAATACAGCTAGATATAGAGCAGGATCCCAGGGGGTCAACATCGCTGAAAATTGTACCAATGTTCACCTATATGGTATTAATGCATGCATATCTGGTATCATCAGAATGTAAGTCTGCCGGGTATCTGGTGGTGGGTGTGGCTGTGAGGGCTGCGATTCTGGGTATGAATTCTTGAGCTAGATTAGCTCAAAAGTGTACCACATGAAAATGGTACAGCAGTATTACAAAAACACTCTGACAGACATTTCTAGTGGTGGGGTACCCCGACAGAGTTATGTAATTGCCAGACCACAGCTAGGCTAGATTCGCTGAAATCTGTACCACTTAAAACTACTTGGAAGTTGTTCAGCACCACCACGGGAACCAAGAACTAGGCTAGATTAGCTGAAATATGTACCACTTATAACTGCTTTGGTGTTGTTCAGCACCATCACAGGAATCATGAATGATCACTGCCAAACCGATTGTACGGTGGGTTACCCCTAACAGACACGCCCAAAATGAAACGCCTCGCAATAAGGCTAGAGTAGCTGAAGTGTGTACCACTTAAAACTGCTTGGAAATTGTTCAGCACCCCAGGGATCACACTGCCCATTGTTTGTTTGGTGGGGTTCTCCCATAAGACACAACAGCCAAGCGCCCCTCTCAAAAATTTGGCTTTATCAGCTGGGTCAGACTTATTGAGAATTCTGGGTATTACATACTTTCATGAGTATGTAATATCTATTAAAGATTAAGTAATCGTATGAAAAATAATAAGTAGTGGTTCAACTCAGTGACCACTGACATACGAACAATAAAATCCGGTTGCCAAACCCCATTTTGAGCCTTGACTTGAAAATATAGTCCACCTAATGTTTATTGGTGGATTATTTATCTTCCATATGTGTTGATTCAGAATTGGGGAAATTTTATATATTCAAGATGGCCGACATGAGGTGGTTTCTGGTTATTTTGTGGGGTAAAATATGTGACAGATGCTCTCGGACCTCAGTTTGAATATGTTTCTAGAAGAATTCGACCCGCTGAATCCAATGAGCTAGGGTATTCCTCCTGAAAGTGATGGCTAATTTCGCTAGAAAGCCAAATTCAAAATGGAGGCTCAGTTTAGAGGGAAACTCATAAAGATCACTAAAAAGATGTGCAATATATTGAAATGTAGGTTTTGAGTGGATTATATGTCTTTAATATGTGTAGATTCAAAATCTGGGTAATGCCACCCTGGCACCCTTCGAAAAATTTAAATATTCAAGATGGCCGACATGAGACATTTTCTGGTTATTTACTTTTATTTAGTGGGGTAAATGTCGGGATAGATTCTCTCGGACCTCGGTATGAAGCTGCATGGTTTCTATCGTAGTTTGACCCGCTGAATCCAATGAATTTTGCTATTCCTCCTAAAAGTGATGGTTAATTCCGCTAGGGGGCAAAATGCAAAATGGAGGCTTATTTTGGAGGGAAACCCATATAGTCCGCTAACAAAGGTGGGCAGTATATTAAAATATAGGTTTTCGGTGTCAGTTACTTCAGATATAAACATAAAAACATGTTCCGACCAACGGGTATTCCAGGTTGAGGTCATATTCAAAATGGCGGCCAATTTTGGCGAGGCATAACGATGTTAGTAATGTTTTAAACTATAGGGTTTTCTGATTCGCCGAATTCATAGAGCCAATTGTCAAGCATACATTATATCCACTATGACACCAGTCGCGGCCACCCTGTCTACCAAAAAACAGAGAGAAGGGATGGAAAATGTTTGCCAACCTCAGCTTTACCGGCGCGTATGAGTGACCTAATAACTGTCAAGACAAGGTTCACCCCCGTTGCATGATACTGATGAAAGCGGAAGAATCAGACTGTTATACTGATTGCGAGTATTCAAGAGATTCAAACGAGCGTAAGTTAGACTTTTACATGAGGTTGGACAAGCCCCAGTTAGCTTTTATAAACATTTGCTTTCGACTCACGGTGGCCCGATGGTTGATTCTGTTTGACCGTGTATAATCTGTGTCCTTATAAGAATACAAGGGAAATAATATCATCGGATTAGAGTACCTTTTGGTCGAAACATGATTTTTATGTTTATATTTGAAGTAATTGACAACGAAAACCTATATTTCAATATATTACACGCCGTTTTAGGGAACATTGTGAGTTTCCTTCAAAAATGAGCCCCCATTGTGAATTTGGCTTCCTAGTGGAATTTCCCCAGGGTGGCATCATCCTTCAGCTTATGTAGCCTTGTTGCGGGGCGTGACATTGTGGGATTTTTGTCATTGGTACCCCACCGAACAAACTGTCTTGTAGTGGTCATTCTTGGTTCCTGTGGTGGTGCTGAACAACTTCCAAGCAGTTTTAGGTAGTACGGGCTTCAGCTAGACTAGCCTAGTTGGGGGCGTGGCATTTCTGGAGTGTCTGTTAGGGTTAGGGGTAACCCACCGGACAAACTGCCTGACAGTGATCATTCATGATTCGTGTGGTGCTGAACAACTTCCAAACAGTTTTAGGTGGTACAGGCTTCAGCTAATCTAGCCTAGGTGGGGAGGGGGCGGGGCTGGCATTTTGGGCATGTGCGTTAGGGGTAGCCCACCGCACAAACTGTCTGGCAGTGATCATTCATGATTCCTGTGGTGCTGAACTACTTCAAAGCAGTTTTAGGCGGTAGGGATTTAAGCTAATCTAGCTTAGCTGGCAGGCGTGGCATATTGGGTGTGTCTGTTCTGTTAGGGGTAATCCACCGCATAAACTGTCTGGCAGTGATCAATCATGATTCCTGTGGTGGTGCTGAACAACTCAAAAGCAGTTTTAAGTGGTACAGATTTCAGCTAATCTAGCCTAGCTGTGGTCTGGCAATTACATAACTCTGTCGGGGTACCCCACCACTAGAAATGTCTGTCAAAATGTTTTTGTAATACTTGAAGATGTAAGGTACACTGCTGTACCATTTTCATGTGGTACACTTTTGAGCTAATCTAGCCCAAGAATTCATGCCCAGAATCCCAGCCCTCACAGCCACACCCACCACCAGATACTCGGCAGACTTACATTCTGATGATACCAGATATGAATGCTTTGATACCATAAATGTGAAAATTGGTACACTTTTCAGCTAGGCTTACCTCCTGGGCTCCCGGTCTAATAATGTACTCGGACTTAACTGCTCAATAAACCATTTCATTTGGGTTTTATCCGTTGAAATTAACATCTTCTGACAAATTTACACTAATACTTTAATGATACGTACCTGATTTACGACTTGTGAGAACAATTTTAAACCGGAAGTCGGTTTCATTTTGATGATGAAGACGTAATGTGAAGAAGGAAGTATTGGTGTATACAATTCCTGGATCTGGACCAGCACAAAGAAATTTATGCTGCATAAATTTAAAAAAGTAAAACATATTAAACATTTACGAGTTCCAACTTTCATGAAATCTATTCCATGCACGACTAATTTGTAAACGGGGCGTCTGAGCGACTGGGCTTTCCTCGTCACACACACAGGGTGTCCCCAATAAATGTCCAAAATGTTGTAATTCACCCAGATAACTCGACATTTCACTTTCCTCTAAAATTACCGCTAACAACATTTTCAGGTACCACCCCTGAAAAAGTGAGAACTGTGTCTGAAAATCCCCGATGGTTCTTTCTCGGCTCACGTCGGTACTCGACGGTCCAGTTCCTGCCCAGTTAAAGTTGATATTTCTTAATTATAAGCCTTCGCAGGAGGAGATTTCCAAGTACTTTGTGTTTAGATATGGGCGAAAGGTGCAGGTGGTTGGGTTGATGCAATGCAAAATTGATTGCACTTAATCCGAGCACAACATCGATACTTACCATTGGTGGTGGACCAGTTATACCAACATCAGTATAAAATACCTCTATATGAACTTTACAGCTCATCAGAGACATATCCTCTACATGAAACATCCATTTTTCACCAGTACGACACCCAAGTTTGATCTCACAATCCTCATAATACGCTATATCTCCATTACCCTCTATAACAGCACCATCTAAATCTAAATATAATCTATTACACGCCGTTCCTGGTAGTAGATCTGAAATATATTATACAAATTATACATTTGACAAATTACTAATATGCATCTGTAGAAACGTGATACTTATTTATTATTTCTTATCTCCTAGGCAAATAAAAGTATAGACTGAAAGCTCATAGATAATCATTTGCAGAGGTAGTTGGCTATCGTTAAATCGTCCCCTGAGCGGTTAGATTAGTGAAAATGGAAAAACACCCTACATATACATTAACCAGATGAAAAATTGGCTTAAAAATTGAGTTCAACTGCATTTTATGTCTACTAATCTTACTGTTAAACTCACCACAGTGATTCGCCGCCGGTGTCGAGCACGACTAGGAAAATATTAAATCTAATTTTATTGGATGGTAAGTATTTAGGAGTTCTTAAATATCATCAAATTATTAGGCTAAGTCCATAGCTGATTGATCTTTTGACGAATAAAGATAGGAGAAAAATCTGCAACCGAGATCCAAATTACATCAAGGATTGTCTAATCACATCTGACCTTTGGTTTAAACAACATTACAGATATTTGGAAATTTCATCAGATGAGCTCGGGAATGCAATCAAGAGTAAGTAGCATATTATGATGGAATTGCATTTCACATTACTTACCAGGACACAGATAATGTAATAAGTTTACCAGTGCTTTTTTTTAAAAAAAAACAACCCACAAATATCTTGATTAAAAGTAGGATTTACAGCAATGTGCCCTCGCGGCGAAGCACTTACACGACAGTGTAATTGGACAAGTCTTTCTGACTATATGAAAGAAATATATTCATAGGATTTGTTTTTAACTTGCTAACTAATGAAACAGGAACCATTGGAATCGGATTACGATGTTCCTCTACAAAACATACACTCACGTGATCTGAACACCGACGTCAAATAAAATAATAATATACTATTATCCAATGTTAATGTAATAAACATAAAAATAAAACGAAACGTAGCGTAACTTACATCTGAGAAACCAAATTTTATTAATATGGTATGCTAATTGTTATGTTTACTATACATCAGATATTAATCGAATTGGGTTTTCCTCAGTGCCCGATCTTATCTTGATTTTCAGCGCGTACCATAATTTTGTTACCACAATTGAAATATTGCTATATTTCACTAATTAACCATTTTATTTCATGTTCATTAATGTGATCAGTTGAAACAAAGAACATCGTATAAATTTCAAGTCACAGATCCTGTACATACGGAACTTTTTACGCTAGCTTAAAACACGAGTTACCTTAATCTCTTTCTACTTTGCCGTCTGAACGCAAACTCGAGAAAATAATTTCACCTTCTTCAAATCTTAAAACTGCCAACGTATCAGCATGCGTAATAAATTACGACGTCTAACCGACAACATTGTTCAGAAAAGTGAAAGGTTACAATGGCTTTGCTAATAGAAAACCGCCCTCTACGAGCTTAAAGTCGCAAGGTTAAGCTAGTCAGCTTTTCCTGCATAGTTTCCTTATTCGTTTTCGCATGCATGGGTAATCGAACAGTTTCCATTTAACCGGCGAGAACGCGTACATGCAAAGTGGGCCTTATACAGTCCGTGTGAATAGTACACTCTGCCAGTATAAAACTGCTAGAGTTTTGAGTTGACTTTATTAACTCTCCGTCTGAACAGCATTCTAGTATATTTCTAACTTTGTAGATGCGCTAAAGTATTTGTAATCCATCCAATAAACTCTGATACATGTATGGGAAGAGTTCAGGGCCATTCCTATCCAATCCCGATAATGAATATGTCTGCCATTAAGACAACCTTTCTCTCAAAGGATGGAGTGATTCTGTTATCACAGAGACACCGTAACAACTTTTCATGGTTAAAGATTTGAATTTATGTTACATAAAAAATATCCCAGACAGAGAAATCAATAACCTATCGTTCATTAGTATTTTTTTCCTACAGTGCAGAAACTTATTAACAAAATGAGCGACCGGGCATGGATCCAATGAAACACACTATGAGGATTAGTGTTGATTTTACACGATCTAACATGATATCTTTGACTACTCATGCCAAGTAATATAAATTACGCAGCTTTAATTTCCTACAGATTATCAAATCCAATCATATCATGTTGACAAATCGAAGCATTAAAGCTTTTTTAGCCACATAAATCGATAGAACCTACGAACGGAATTAAGTTAAGGAACTGTTTTTTTACGTCATGAAATTGAATTTCAGCAGATGCCCATAAGAAGTAATTATGAAGTCAGTTTTATGTATTTTCATCTTGTATGTATTTTTTTTTACAGTAAATCGATTCTATTTATTGGCGTAATACATACCATAGTTCAATGTTAGGATTACTGTTGTATCTTCTAAAAGGATTTCTAATTTAGATATTTTAAGTTCAAGCTAAATAAATTTTAAAGTGAAATTATTAAATGTACGATAAACTCCCTAAACAATTTGATTTAACCTTTTAAACACTAATCGACAGAGGAATTAATGTCCTCTTTACACGATGGAAATAAATATAGCCTGGTTAATCAATAATATGTAATTGCAGGAATTCTACGATTCTCACTAGGAATCACCTTCATGGGGCGTTTAAACCATTCAAATTTCTGAAACAGCCAAATGTAGACAATACCTCTGTACATTACTGAGGATTTGTATGTTTAATTGAATGTAAATCAGTTTATATACGATTCTCACTAGGAATCACCTTCATGGGGCGTTTAAACCATTCAAATTTCTGAAACAGCCAAATGTAGACAATACCTCTGTACATTACTGAGGATTTGTATGTTTAATTGAATGTAAATCAGTTTATATACATTCATATTACATTATTATATGCGTTGCTACCCATTTGTGTCAAATTTCTAGGTTCCAAATATTAGCGATTTAGCTCCTTTAAAACTAGTTAACAGACCTCCAATAAACACGTGTGTGATAATTAAACTTGGAGAAACTCAAATGAGACAAGATTTGATGCGGACCCTTGCTTGTAAAATAGAAAAGAAAATATATTGAACATTTGAGACAACCCCATAAAATATATTGTCCAACTAGTATTTGGTTAAATGGTTGAGGTCCGATGGTGACAACACAACAAATAAATACGAAGACAGTTTCGGATGTTTATTAATTATCTAAATGGAAGTTCAGCTCATTGATTGGTTGGTAAGGTATTTGATTTGTAACTTAATAACCGGAAATGGTATTTCTAATGTAAGGATATATCAGTTTCCTGAAATATTAGAATATAGTGATACCCAGAAGGCAATTAAAGAGCTAGGACGTAATCTGACTTTTTTTAATCGACACCGTAAGTCCTGTTACGCCATATACCTCAGTCCAACGGTTCGTGTTGCTATCTGATATTATAGTGGCCTTAAGTAATAAATCTCATAGCATCACCTTTTGCCACATTGTCTATTAGATAGGTAATGAAGTATTAAAGATCTAGTTAGATATCTGACAGACTAATTACGGTGTGACGGAATATAAATGCGCCATAAAGGACAGTAAATAAATTGTCTACTGCTTACTGGAATTTTGCATTAGGTTATGGTTTGCTAAATAGTAGGAGGCAGTAATCGGATTATTTGTCTTGCACGGTATAAAGATCAGACCAAATTGTCGAATTCTAGGTGTTCAATAAGTAAATGTCATGAAATACGTTGACCAATTTCACAAACGTATTTCAATTGTATTCTAGGGGCCATACTATATACCGGAAAACACAGGAAAACACCCGGAAAACAACCGGAAAAGACCATTTTATACTGAATACCGGAAAACACCGGAAAAACACTAAATACCGGAAAACATCCTAAATACCGGAAAACACCCTAAATAGGTAACCCGGAGCCTGGTCCTCTGTGTGCGGTTTTGGACAAAGTGAGCGCCGATGAAGGAAGGTCAAGGTCATTACGATGTTCGTTTTACAAATAGCCCCCCCCCCCCCCCCAAAAAAAAAAGAAATTAAAAAATTTCCGATTTTTTTTTCTCCAAAATTTTGTTGATGCCTATTATGTTTTGAATGTTTTAAAAGACGCAATCAGTCTACCTCCATCATTGACCATATTTTATTTTGTATTTTAATTTTAGTTTTCAGTAAATTTTAGTAGATTTCAGTGTTTCAGTAGATTAAACACAGCCCTCTGAGGGCCCCGTTATATGCCGGTTGCGCCGGTCTCCTGATTCTTACCAGTAACGCTGGCATCAGGGTAGTACGAATTAGTGGAAGGCAAGATTAGGCCAACTCCTCCCTAGGTAACAAAAAATCGCATCATAAAACAGCAAGTATCATCAAAAGCGAGTTAATAAATCTCTGAATAGTTCGAGTTGAAGTTCCAGGTTTAACCGCTATGTGTCCTAATCACCAAACGAAATGGATGCAACGCAATTCTCGGACAGGCTGTAATCTGAAAAGTGTCTATCCTTTCCAAGAGCTATCCATCTCGTTGGAAGGGCTTACTTTCATTCCAGGGTCCAATATAATCACTTGAACCATAATAATATTCAACATATTCCATCATAATCCGAGGGCCGCACACAGGATTTTTTTTCTGGAATACTTTTCGAGCTTTATTCCCCAACTCGTTGACCAGTTTTCCTTGAGAAAACCCCAACTTTCGCCCAATTGTCCTTGAGGAAAATACATATTCTATCTTACTGCATTGACGGGAAGTGGTAAGCTGGACGTCTGTGAAAAGGGTTGATCCATAAATTTTCAAGGAAGCAATTGTTGATTTTGTTTGTGAAATAGAGGACTCTAGCCGATGAGGCTACTTTCCCCCCGAGAACCTCAGGCAACCAATTTGTTTTATGTACTACTATCGTAATAAAACATTACTACAATTCCACCCCCCGTCCCACCCTGACGATGATCCCTCCCGGAGCGGCGCGGCGCGGTCTCTAAAAAAAATCTCGGGCACAGTTTACTCTTCTAAGTTTTCCGGTAGCTATTTAGTAATGCGGAGTTTGGTCCTCGTGTGTGGTTTTGGACCAGGTGAGCGAGCGATCGTCACTCTCTCCCAAA